TCCCCAGTGTGCCCAGGAGGTGGGCAGGAGGGCAGGTGAGAGCAGAGCTTCAGGAGGGGTGGGTGGGGCTGGGAACAGAGCACTCCCCCCAGTTCCCAGGGTCTGTGTCTGCCTCCGTCCTCACCGGGCCTCAGTTTCCCCTGACAGAAGGTAGTGTGGCATAGTGGGAGATGGGGCTCAGATTGTCCTCTGTGTCACAGGAAGGACACTGCTTGTACCACTGAGTTTGTGCATGTCTGGCCAGGTTCTCTTGTGGGGCCAGTGACTATGGCGGACACACAGGTGTAAGCTCAGGGGCTGTTTCTCATTTGTCCCAGCTGACCCAGGCTGACCCCAGCTGCAGGATTTGTTAGGCACAGCATGGGGTTGTGACACTGTCCCTTTGTCCACCTGCAGGCCCTGTTGGGTTGTAAGAACTCAGCTGCACAGGCAGGCTGGTGTGGCATAGGGATGGCTGCCCTGTCCTGAGGATGAGGCTAGTGACTGTCACTTTCCACCCTTGGTGAGGGCCATGGGGCTCTCTCCATCCCAGCTCCTCCCGTTATCTCCTCTGTAGACAACTGTTCCAATTCTGTCTTCCTTTTACCACAAGACCTATTTTTAACTTTCAGCCTTGGGGGAGGGGAGGGGAGGGCGGGCTAAGGGAGGGTGATGGCCGGAGTGTCCCCTCTTTCCCTGTCTGTCCTCTTCTCTCTTCGGTCTTGTGAGTGCCCTCACCCTCCTCCTATGTCCCACCCACCCCAGGCTTCTTCCTTTCACTCATTTTCTCTTTGCCCGTGGCTCTGCCCTGCTCCCTGGCTCATCCTACTTAATCTATCTCTGCTCTTCTCCTCTAGGGATATCTCTATGCACTGTTCCTCCCACCCACCAGGTGGCAGGAGTTGTTCACGGTGCCCCGTTCCTAGCTCAAGACAGACCCCGCCCCTTGACCACTAGTGACTATTTGAGTGGCTGTTCTGTGGCTGCAGACAGCCACTCCGTCCTTCTGGGGCCTGGCCTTCCCGTGGTGCCAATGACCTTGAGTTCTTCAGGCCTCTTCTATCCTTTCCGTTAACTGTTGGCATCAGCTGCTGGCTTGGGAGCAGCGCGGTGCCTGCTTTCTTCCCTGCTTGCCACCCGACCGCAGCCCGGCTTTTCAAAGGATCTGATTGACAGTGGTGTCAGAAGTGTGTGTGTGTGTGTGTGTGTGTGTGTGTGTGTGTGTGTGTGTGTGTGTGTGTGTGTGTGTGTGTAGGCCTGCTTGGGCTTAGCCCAACCTCAGCTTCTGTTGGGCAGAAACAGGTTTGTCTCCCCTGGATGGCACTTCTCTTTGCCTGGTATTTTGGCCATTGCACAGAGCACCAGGTTGAGGACCAAGTCAGCAAGGAGGAATATAGAGCCAGTGATGAGAGATTAGTCCCAAAGACCATATTGAGCCCCTGTCCCCAGCAGTCCCCAACCTGGTGTTTTCTTCTGAAACCATCAAGAGTTTCATTTATCACTTCAAAACTATGTATTTTTATTTTATGTGTATGTATGTGCACCTGCACGCATGCTTGGTACCTGCAGAGGCCAGAAGCAGGTGTTTGATTCCCTGGAATTGGAGTTACAATTATGAGCTTCCATGTGGGTCCTAGGAATTGAACCTAGTTGCTTTGCAAGAGCAGCCAGTGCTCTTAACTGCTAAGCTTTGTAGCCCTTGCTTTTTTTGGTCACCTTTAATTGCCTGCTTTCTGACTGACCCCTTGGGCTCAGTCTGGCTTCTATCCCCACCCACCCACCCTCACACCCCAACTCTTCTCTGTGGTTTCACCCATTCTGTGGCCTAGGGCCCCGAGTTCCCAGCACAGCCTGTGCTCAGAACTTCAGAGCTGTGGTCCCAGCTGCCCCAGATATTGTGGGTAGAAAGCCCGTGGCGGCACTCAGTGTACACTGTGAGGCTCTGGGAAGATGGCTCAGTCGGCAGAGGGTTTACCAGGTACAAACATGAGGAGCACATTTTTAGAAAGCCTGGTGTCTCTGGCATGCACCTTCCATCCCAGAGCTAGGGTGGGAGACAGGAGGATCCTGGGAGTTTGCTGTCTGACCAGCCTAGATGAATCAGCAAGCTCCAAGTTTAGTCAGAGTACTTTGGTTTTGCACGCCTTTAATCCCAGCACTCAGGAGAGAGAGGCAGGTGGATATCGGTGAGTTCAAGGCCAGCCTGGTCTACAGAGTGAGGTCCAGGACAGCCAGAGCTACATGGAGAAAAAAAAAAAAAAGGAAAAAAACAACCAAAACACCTAATGAAGAGAGCAACTGAGAAAGATAGCATTGGCCTATCACACACACACACACACACACATACACACACACACACACACCACAAACACAATGTTACACACCATCCTTATATCCTTTGCCTTCCTCAACTTTCTGAAGTAGGCTTACTGTCCTCCTCATTGGGTCCATCCATCCATCCATCCACCCACCCACCCATCCATCCATCCATCCATCCATGCATGCATCTACTTATACATCTATTCCTTATCCATCCATCCATCCATCCATCCATCCATCCATCCACCCACCCACCCGTCCATCCATCCATCCATCCATCCCTCATAACAACAATGTTAACAATAGCCTATGTTTATTAAGCACCTACTTGGCACCAAGTGCTGTTCTAGTTAGTTTCCACATATTAACTCAAATTGAACAAATCAATGCAGAGGCGAGGAGCCAGGCTCAGGTTTAAGAAACTCTGGGTTAGCACACCAAGCCCCAGATGCTTGCTGCTTAAGTCAAAGGCCTGGGAGTCGTCCTGGCTTCCTTTACCTGACCCACCTGTCACGACATCCAGCTGAGTTGGCCCCTGTTTCTCTGACCTCACTCAGGGCACCTTTCTGAGCTTACAGAGTGGCCTTTTAGTTTCTGTGATGCATGTCCCTGAACTGGCACCCTCAGGCCCCGACCTGCTGGCTAGCCCTCTCAGAGTGCCGGACCTGATTGAGAACAGGCCTACAGGGCAGGACTGAGGCTGCATTCATCTTGTCTTTTACCATCACAATCCATGCTCCTCCTGAGCCAGGCTCAGCCCGAGTCTTGCTAATGTTTTTTTTTTTTTTTTTTGGTTTTTACGAGACAGGGTTTCTCTGTATTGTTTTGGAGGCTTTCGGTCCAGCCTGGCCTCGAACTCACAGAGATCCGCCTGCCTCTGCCTCCCGAGTGCTGGGATTAAAGGCGTGCGCCACCACTGCCCGGCGAGTCTTGCTAATGTTGAGAGAAGAGAGACCTTGGGGGCTGGCTTGGAATCCCTCAAAGTCCTGAGCACACTTGGATAGAGTTGGCCTGTGGCTTTCAGGAGTGTCCCCGGATTGACTGCAGCTGTTTATGCTGCCAGGTCGGGTGAGGGCCAAGTCAGACACAGCGAAATAACCCAGAGCCCCCCCTTTTTTTATGATACTCCTTTGATGGCTGTGGATGGAGAATACCGGAGCTGGAGAGGGTGGGGGCTGCGCCGCCCCTTCCTGGTGGCTGCCTCCCAATAGGGAGCCACTTGTAGAGGTATCACAGGAGCTGAGGCTGGGTCAACAGGAGACAGTCATGCCCACAGCCCATCTTGCAGTCTGCTGGCATGAGTATCTAGAAGGCCTGGGGGATTCCTCCTAGCTTTGCGGGGCATGGTTTCTGACCCTGGGATGGGCTGAGCAGGCAGATCTGTGCCCAGCCAAATGAATCCCAGTTAACTGCATTGCCTTGAGCCTGGGGGAAGACAGGATGCTGGGTTGTATCAGGTGGGGGCTGAGGAGGTAAAGGGATGGATGCTTCTGTGTGTGTAGCACGTTGCATGGACCTGCAGCAGCGGCTGAGGGGACAGCCCACAGTCCTGTCCTCAACAGAAGCTCCCCATGGCTGTGGTTGGTAGCCTGCCCCACAATGGTATCCCCAACACCCACCTCTGCCTGCCTTCATTCTGTAGAGTCAGTGGCAGAGCTGGGGAGTCCTAGAGCTGGACCACATTTGGGGTACAGAATCCCCCAGTGGACAATGCAGCATGCCGGATGTCCTCATGGCTAGGCTTGCTGAAGCTTGTCCCGCCTCAAGCTATTGTGGTGTCACAGCCCTTAGTCTGTGGATTTCTGCCCCCTCCAGCAGCTGCTCCCTTTCACCTTCTACGAGACTATTCCCAGTGACTCTGTCTCCTGTGACACAAGAGGCTCTTGCAGTACCCAGGAATCCACAGCCTAGACATAGAACCACCTGCGCAGTACCACCAAGTCTGGCCTTTGTGGGATTCTGGGCACAGTGGTAGAGGGCACAAGTTCCTGTGCACTGCCCTTGGACCTGTCTCAGCCTCACCCTCAGCCTTTGGCTTAGCTGAACTGGGCTGGTCCTCCAGCTGCTGCCCTGAGGTCCTGGGTGTCTTCCCACAGCCTGGATGGCCTCTGTGGGCTCTGAAGAGTGTCAGGGCGCAGAACCTTGGCAGATGCTCTGACTCCCCCTCCTAAATGCACAGAGAATCACAGAGAGGTTACGAGTCTTTCGGGCAGCCTCATAGTAGGTCTGAGGTAGACTAGCTAGAAGTGTGGGTGTGGCCTGTCCTGGGCCCAGCTTCCCCTGGTTGGGCTATGGCCAGACATTCAGCAACCATCTCCCCAGCCCACAGCACCGGGCCTTCACCCTGCCGTTGCTGGGTCTCTTCAGGCTGGTGGTTCTGCCCACTCTTCATCCTCTTGCCCTCCAGGAGACCCTCTTTACAGTGTGCAGGGCCTCCTGTGGGAGGAGAGGTTTCTGATTCTCTTGAAGTCTGAGGCCCAGATAGAGGAGTAGTTTCCTTAGACCCACAGCAGGTTATCATTAGTTCAGAGTCACCAACTGGTCTCCTGATACCCTAAGGCAGCCATTGGGTACTGGTGATAAATTCCAGCAGACTTCCTGATAGAGGTGGGGGCTATGATCTAGGCCACGCCCCCCTCCAGACAAGCCTTTAGGAACACCTGTGAGGGATTATCTTCATTAGGTCAACTGCGGCAAGAAGACCCGCCCCAAATGTGGGCCATCATCCTATAGGCTGTCATCCTGGGTAAACCCAGCATTTGTTTCTCTCTATTTCCTGACTTCAGATACATTGTGTCTGTCTGCCTCCTCGTCTTGCTGTGGTGCCTTCCCTGAGAGGATATCTCCTTCAGACTGTGAGTCACAACAAACGGTTTCTCCCTTAAATTGCTTTTTTTTTTTTTTGTCAGGTGTTTTGCCACAGTCCTGGGAAAAGTAACTTATACAGACAGGCTCTGAAGGCAGGCGTGGTTGCAAAAAGCCCAGGAACTTGGGGTGGGTTCCTCCACAGGACTTCCAGGGAGGGATTCAGCCTCCTGCACCCAGAGTTTGTAGAGAAGGAGAGGTTTTGAACTGTCTCCCTCTTTCTGGGCTGGGGTGGCCCCAGGGAAAGGCTGAAATATGACCTGGCCATTCTGAACTTGGTATCTCCTGCATAGTGATGGGGGCCATATGTCCCTGGAGGCCATCCCTCTGCCACAGCTCAAATGGGATGGAGAAAGCAATAATTCCCGAGGGGCTGAGCTGTCAGAGATGGTACATGTTTCTGAGGCTCCTGCCCTGCTGCTCAGAGGGCCATCAGAATCCTTAACAGAGGCTGCGTATTTTCTGGCTACCTGGCCAGGGCCAGTGCAGGAAGCCACAGAACTCAGGCCTAACCCACTAGGCTTGGAATTTTAGGCACACGGGGCTTTCTTTAGCTGCCTGGGGTATGGCAACACATCTCAGTCCTTGACAATGCAGTGCTGCCCCTCACACACCTTTTCTTCCCGTTGCTCCAGATTCTTCTCCTAGGCTTGTCCTAGCCCTCAAGTGTGCAGGATAACCCATTCTGAGGGCTTACTGCAGAGTTCAAGTGGATGGGCTGCATAGAGCAGCCAAGGGAAGGAAGATCTGGCAAGGCAGCATCAGGCTCAGCTGGAGAGTTCTGTGGTTGATTAGTGGTGTCTGCCAGGGTCAGGGTAGAAGATGGACTATGGGATTGGGGTCAGGGTAGAAGATGGACTATGGGATTGTTCTCTCTCTCTCTCTCTCTCTCTCTCTCTCTCTCTCTCTCTCTCTCCCTCTCAATAATTATTTATTTATTATACATGCAGTATTCTGCCCAGGCCAGAAGAAGTCACCAGGTCGCATTACAGATGGTTGTGAGTCACCATATATATGGTTGCTGGGAATTGAACTCAGGACCTCTGGAAGAGCAGACAGTGCTCTTAACCTCTGAGCCATCTCTCCAGCCCTGGGATTGTTCTCTTTTATTTTTTGTGTGCACATGCATTTGGGTATACAGATGCTTGTAGCGGACACAGGACAACCTCAGGTGTATTTCTTGAGCAGAGTCTCTGAGTGGCTTAGAGCTTGCCAAGTAGGCTAGACTAGCTGATCAAAGAACCCCAGGGATCCTTCTGTCTCTGCCTCCTGGTACTGGGATTCCAAGCATTCAGCATCATGCCTAACATTTTTTATGTGGCTTCTGAGGACTGAACCCAGGTCCTCATCCTTGCAAAGCAAACACTTTACCAACTGTGTCATCTATCCCAACTGTCTCATTTCTTTCTTCACTTCCTGGTACAGGATGACAGCTTCCTGTTCCTCCCGTGGAGGTACTCAGACTCAATCTACTCTGGGCGAGGTGGAGGGTACAGGAGAAAATGCCACTTCATTGAGTCCAGGAATATCAGGAGGACGTGCTGGGAAGGCTCTGCAGGTGGCAGTGAGGTGTCCCTGGCTCCAGGTGTGTTGCAGCCCAGGTGGCAAGTGGTCTCAGGGCCGTCCATCACTCCCTCTTTGGCTTTGTCTCTGAGAGGATCCCAGCACACTCGGCTTACAGCCGGGAAGGACATTCACTGTTGCTAGTCCCATTTTCCATGGAGGGAGTTCCTACTCATGACTGGTCCCTGGGGTGTTCCTGGCAAGTTGGTGGTGTCTATAGTGGCTCTCACAGTTCTCAGGTCTGTCAAGGAGGTTCCTAGAGTGACAAGTCTAGAAAGCCACATATGGTTCTGAATTCTGAGCCTGTAGTGACCCAGAGCCTCCCCTGGTGATTGGGCTTCTCAGCTGCCCCTTCCCCCAGTATGGTGGGAGAGCTGAGCTGTGACCACTTGTCTCCAAGGATATCTGCTTAGGTTTTCCTCGGGGCCTCACCCTGCCCAGGGCCCCAAACACTGAAGAGAGACCTTGAGGGATCCCCAGTTAGTTGCTGGGCCAGCCTGTGAGGAAGAAAGTCTTTCTTTTCTATTAGGTGGTACACTTTGGTGTCTCACACATACTGTGAGATTTATCAGAAGCAAGTCTGAGTACCAAGGAGGCCATGACACTGATGAGTACCACCTTGTGACTGTCACCCCTCTCAGAGCCCCAGCTTCTTCATCTCCAATTCGAGGGAGATCCAGGTACCTGAAGTCTTGTCTAGTCTCTCACTATGCCTTTCATAGCTTCTCACTGTGGTGTCAGAAACTGATAGCGGAGTCATTCTTGCAGTCACAGTGTGGGCTTGGGGCAGCCTGAAAGAGGGAAAGAGATACCGGAGACCCTTGACACTCACCCTGTCTCTGCGCGGTCTCCACTAATCTCCATCCGCTGTTCTCAGCCACTCCTTCTTGTCCCTCCCTTGTCCTGCAGCGGCTCTTATTTGGTCATCCGCCCAGTGTGCTGTAAAAACGCTGGCCCTCAGCCAGGTTTGCATGGTGTTTTATTGATTTCATTAAGTAGGGCTGTAAGTAGGGACCCCACCTGCGCAAGGGGCTGGGCTGAGTATCCACAGGGCGGCCGGTTGGCATTAAAGATCCGAGGAAGCTTTCAGGGCAGCCTGTTTAGGGGCCTTGACTCAGGTGACCTTCACCTCGATCCCCCTTGGAGTCTACGGAGCTGGTGTCACAGCTGCAGTAACATTGTAATCACAGTTTAACATAGCGGGAGGAAATGGGCAAAGGCTTGCCACCCTCCTGCCCCTGCCTTCCTCCTGCAGGTGCCCCCTAGCTCTACCAGGGCATTCCCCCACGCCCCTCAGTGGAGCTGTGTTGATGGCTTGTGCTACCCTCCTCTGTGTCTAGTTTTGTATGACAGCATAGGTGCCCTGGTGGAAGCAGGAGTGACTTTAGGTGACCTCTGACCCAGGAGTGCTGGCCTGGGAGACAGAGGTTGGTTCCTGCTGTGACTTGGCCTCAGGGGCTCCCCCCTCACTCTCAACTGCCCCCGGGGCATGTGGTAATTTGAGTAAGAATGGCCCCCATAAGCACATGTATTTGAATGCTTAGGGAGTGGCACTGTTGGAAGGATTAGGAGGTTATGGCCTTGTTGGAGTAGGTGTGGCCTTGTTGGGGTAGGATTGGCCTTGTTGGAGGAAGCACATCTCTGTGGGTGGGCTTTGAGGTTACAAAAGCCCATCCATGCCAGGCCCAGTGTCTCTCTCTCTTCCTGATGCTTGAGGATGTGGGTGTAGAACTCTCATCTGCTTCTCCAGTTTCCTATGTGCCTGTGTACCACCGTGCTTCCCATGATGGTGATAACGGAGGAAACCTCAGAAACTGTAAGCCAGCCCCAACTAATGCTTTCTTTGATTAGAGTTGTGGACATGGTGTCTCATCTCTTCACACAGCAGTGGAACACTGACTAAGACAGTGTGTCTTTCTGAATGTGAGCTCAGGGGCTGGAGTCCCTTCTGTCTCCCGGTTGTCGTCTTTCCAGAGTATATGAAGACTCTTGGGCTACTAGTGGGCTGGGCAACCTTCTCACATCACAGAGCATCCATGCAAAACATGAGGTGTCACCCCCACTCCCACTTAGAGATGGACAGCAGCTCAGAGAGGCTATACAATGGGCCTCTGGTCACCATTCCAGGCACAGCTTAGTTTGAGTCCATCCAGTCCCAAGAGGGGGTGCCCATGATGAATCTCTCCAGGTGTCCCTCTGCCAACCTCTGCATCTGCCTCTTTCCAGAACTCAAAAGAAAGGTTGTCAGGGGAACTGTAGGGACCCAGGGATGGAGATGCAGGGGGAGTGGTAATCGGCTGGATCCTTTGGAAAAAAAGATGGAGGCTACTGGAATGGATTGGTTTGCCACAGGAGCATGGGATGCTGGGCATGGGTGGAGGGCTGCAGAGGGCCTTCTTTGTGCAAGTGGAGTGTGGGCTGGAGACATGCCTGGGTAAACCGGAGCCTGAGCACTGCTGATAATATTGCCCAGATGGGAGCAAGGAGGCTCCAGGTTACGAAGTTGGGAGGAATCTCCATGAGGGACTCCCATATGGGTCCTGCTGACCCTCTTACACTGCCACCAAGATGGGTGAAATCAGCTGGCTGGGTCTCTGTTGGGGCAGGGAGGTGTGGAGCTGGAGTAGGGAGGGGCCAGGTCTGATAGGAGAGAAGAAGCAGGGATCTAATAGTCTGAGTGGAGGACCAGCAGAGGATGGAAGGACCAGGCCAGTGCCTCAGGAGGAGGTGGGGCTGCCAGGGGCCATCAGAAGTGCACTTAGATGCTGACCTGTGGCCATGAACTAGGGAACTCATGCAGCACAACCTGAGGGACTCTGTCACCTGTCAGCTGCCTCACCCCTCCCTGCCTCAGACCTGGCCCCTCCCATAGGAGACAGCTGAGACTGTTCTCACTTCTGCACTCTCTTTCCTTCAGTGTTTGAGACTCATTTCCAGGGCTGTCGTTTGTTCTTTTCATTGCTGTGCGGTATTTACCAGAAGACCGCACAGTGGTTTATGCATCCATTCTATGGGAGTTGGGAATTGGGGCTGCTCTCCTTTTGATGGCTACCTCGAGTATGGCTTCGATGACTGTTTCTGAGTATGCCCTTCACCAGCCATTTCCTTTCCCTCCCATTGGGTAAATGCTGATGAGTGGATCACACATAGTCATGTACTTCAATTACTATTGCTTACTGGTTTTAATCCCACCAGAAATGCAAGGGAGTTCCCATTGCTCTACATGCCCCTGCTGCACTTGGAGGCAGCATTTGGGTTTTTGTGTTTCTTGTTTGTTTGTTTGTTTTGTGAGAACACAATGGCGTCTCACAGCTGCTTCTCTGCTTTAATTTGTTTCCTTGACTGTCCATGGTGTTGAAAGCACTTATTAGATAGCTATACTGTCCTGTGTTGAGAGCCCCTGCAGGTTCTGCTAGGGCAAGATTTTTTTCCTTGATATCTCTCCCTTCTCTTCTCTTTGTAACACGAATAATAAAAACCCAGACATAGATATTGGGGTTCAAGCTGAAGATCAGAAAAGCAAAGCAGTCAAGCCACCAGAGAGCTCTTACAAGGCTGGGGTAATCCTGTCCTCAATGTGGCTGGAGACTAAATGTCAGCCCTGAGACCCTGCTCCTGTCTCGTGTACCTCTCTAGTGCTGGAATTAAAGGCATGCACTACCACCGCCCAGCCTCTATGGCTAACTAGTGTGGCTGCTGGGATTAAAGGTGTATATCACCACTGCCTGGCTCTATAGCTGTGGCTAGTATGGCTGGCTTTGCGTTCGCATCTTTCAAGCAATCTTTATTAAACCATAAATATTATTATCGCATCTCTGCTCTTCCTTTCTGTCTCTGTCTGTCTGTCTCTAGACTGCCTCCAGTGACGTATCAGAGGGTGACTTTCAACTTCTGATTTTTTGACCCCCTCCCTCACAAGTGCTGGAATGACAGGCATATGCCACCAAGCCCAGTTCCTGGGGCTGGAACCCAGGGCTTTGCGAATGCCAGGCAAGCACTCTACCAACTGAGACACATCCTTAGCCCCGCCCCTTCGGTATTCTGGATTTGAGTCATTTCTCGGATTTCTTGGTTCCATGCCTTACAAATGCGCTTTCTTTTTCGTGTCTTCCCCTCTCCACCCTGTGTGTTTTAGACATGCTATGTAACCCTGGCTGCCTGGAGCTTGATGTGTAGAGATGAACTTGGCCACCAACGTCTTGGTAATCCTCCTGCCTCAACATCCCAAGTGTGGGATGACAGATATGCTTTTCAGTCTTTATTTCCCTCCTGCAGTCTCTCAGCCTTGTCTTAAGGCTCCCTGGGCTCTGAGTATGGAATGTCTTTGGTCAGGGGGACCTTTTCTGGAGGCCCAGGTAGAGACAGACAAATCTTGAACTTGGAATGTTTTCGGTGAGGGGGACCTTTTCTGGAGACTCTAGAGACAGACAGCTCTTGAGCAGAGGGGAAGACCAAGAAGACTGCATGCACATCTGGGACAGCCCCGGGTTTATTCCTGACCCGTCGGAAGTGTGATTTGTGCTGTCAGGCAAACCTCACCCACCCCCGCCTCAGTTTCCCTTCTGTGACACAGGAGAATGAAGCTTCCTCTCCCTCTATCTCATTGGATAATCATAAAAGTAAATGAAGGCTGGGCTTGTGCCTACCCCAGCACTCAGAAGGCGTTTCTCAAATGGAGGCCAGCCTGGGCTATACAGTGAAACCCTGTCTCAAAGACAAAACAGCCTGCACCTGACTCAGGGATCACTGCAGGAGAGGGGAGACAGTAGGAGCAAAGGGATCAGCTAGTTTGCTGTGGGAATGTGTCTTCTAGTGATGTCAGAAGTTACATCCCTAAATTCCCACCAGCGTGACCGCCAGACAGGAGCTGAACAAGGACAACAGACATGCCAAACACACTTAAGAGTAACATTATACAGACTGAGCAGGTTGTGTTTATGTTTTTAGGAATATATATGTACACACACACACACACACCCCTAACAACTGATGAAAAAAGAAGCCATGCATTTGAGAGAGCAAGGACAGGCATGTGGGAGGGTTTGAAGGGAGGAAAGGGAAGAGAGAAATGATATAATATTATAATCTAAAAAATTAAATAAACAGTTGAAAACAAAACAAGGCCGAGCGTGACAGTGCACACCTTTAATCCCAGTACTCGGAGGTAGAGGCAGGAGGGTCTCTGTGAGTCAAGGCTAGTCATGACTATGTAGGGGACCTTGTCTCAAAAAATAAAACAAAGCCAACCAGTCAACCAAACAAAAAACAAAATGAAAACAAAACAGGAGTAAAAAGATGTCAGATGAGAGTGTGGCCCACAGATGAGCCAAGAAACCGCTACTGCTCCCTTGCGGGCTTTGGAGGGCACTGTCAGGCACACCAGTTCCTGGGAAGCCCCATCTGGGAAAGGCAGGTGGGAGGAGGCACTGAGCATGCTCAGAGGGATCATGTTCTCATACAGAACCTTGGCTGGAATTAACTCCAGCAGAATGCAGCAGGTAGCTGTAAATTCTTTCTTGGTCTTTCCCGAATGTTCAAAATATGGTGCAAGTACAGCTAATTTGTTTACTGAGGTGAACTTGACAGACAGCTTTTTCAGACATTTACTGAGAGTGGTGTGATCTTTTCCTGTGTATATATGTGGCGACATGCTTGCCACAATCGATATTTCCACGTGTAC